AGAGGAAGACGACCGAGCCAACCAATCAATGACGGCAGGGTTGTCGGTGGAGACACGACCGCTGGATGACACCGGGAGCACTGGCCTCTGGCTGCGAATACTGCTGCCTCGACCCCTTCCTCTGCTGCCACGTCTGCTCGCTCCTAAAACATTGCCTCCTCTGCCACTCCTCTGCATGTTGTCTGACATACTATTTAATTCAACGATTAGGTGTCCCTGAGTAACAATTCTCTGGCACTCAGTAACAATTCTGTCTGTCCTGAGTGTAACAATTCTGTGTCTGTGCAAGTAACAATTTTGTGTCTGTGAGAGTAACAATTCTCTGGCACTCAGTAACAATTCTGTCTGTGTCCCTGAGTAACAATTCTCTGGCACTCAGTAACAATTCTGTCTGTCCCTGAGTAACAATTCTCTGGCAACTCAGTAACAATTCTGTCTTTTGTGTCTGTGAGAGTAACAATTCTCTGGCACTCAGTAACAATTCTGTCTGTCCCTGAGTAACAATTCTCTGGCCCTGAGTAACAATTCTGTCTGTCCCTGTCTGTGGCACTGAGTAACAATTCTGTGTCTGTGCTGAGTAACAATTCTGTGTCTGTGCAAGTAACAATTTTGTGTCTGTGCGAGTAACAATTCTCTGGCACTCAGTAACAATTCTGTCTGTCCCTGAGTAACAATTCTCTGGCACTCAGTAACAATTCTGTCTGTCCCTGAGTAACAATTCTGTGGCACTCAGTAACAATTCTGTCTGTCCCTGAGAGTAACAATTTCTGTGGCCTGAGTAACAATTTGTGTCTGTGCAAGTAACAATTCTGTGTCTGTGCAAGTAACAATTTTGTGTCTGTGAGAGTAACAATTCTCTGGCACTCAGTAACAATTCTGTCTGTCCCTGAGTAACAATTCTCTGGCACTCAGTAACAATTCTGTCTGTCCCTGAGTATGAATTCTGTGGCCCTGAGTAACAATTCTGTCTGTGCGAGTAACAATTCTGTGTCTGTGCAAGTAACAATTTTGTGTCTGTGAGAGTAACAATTCTCTGGCACTCAGTAACAATTCTGTCTGTCCCTGAGTAACAATTCTCTGGCACTCAGTAACAATTCTGTCTGTCCCTGAGTAACAATTCTCTGGCACTCAGTAACAATTCTGTCTGTCCCTGAGTATGAATTCTGTGGCCCTGAGTAACAATTCTGTGTCTGTGCGAGTAACAATTCTGTGTCTGTGCAAGTAACAATTTTGTGTCTGTGCGAGTAACAATTCTCTGGCACTCAGTAACAATTCTGTCTGTCCCTGAGTAACAATTTCTCTGGCACTCAGTAACAATTCTGTCTGTCCCTGAGTAACAATTCTCTGGCACTCAGTAACAATTCTGTCTGTCCCTGAGTAACAATTCTCTGGCACTCAGTAACAATTCTGTCTGTCCCTGAGTAACAATTCTCTGGCACTCAGTAACAATTCTGTCTGTCCCTGAGAGTAACAATTCTCTGGCACTCAGTAACAATTCTGTCTGTCCCTGAGTAACAATTCTGTCTGTCCCTGAGAATGAATTCTGTGGCCCTGAGTAAGAATTCTCTGGCACTCAGTAACAATTCTGTCTGTCCCTGAGTAACAATTCTCTGGCACTCAGTAACAATTCTGTCTGTCCCTGAGTAAAAATTCTGTGGCCCTAATAACGTTTCTGTGGCCCTAAGTAACAATTCTCTGGCACTGAGTAACAATTCTGTCTGTCCCTGAGTATGAATTCTGTGGCCCTAACTAGCGTTTCTTTGTCCCTAAATAACGATTCTGTGGCCCTCATTAACAAGTCTGTGTCCCTGAGTAATGGTTCTCTGTCCCTAAGTAACTTCTCTCTGTCCCCAATTTCTCGTTTCTGTGGCCCTAACTCTGTCCCTGTCCCTAGTACAGAGCGGTCTGCCTGTTCAATGACTGCAGGCAAAATGAAGATTTCCAAAATGGCCGCTATATATACCTCGACCATTACACAGTGCTGGCTGGCTGGCTGCTGATTGGCTGATGCGATCACATGTCGTTGAGGAATGCATTATGGGGCAGCGCGCCTTGTCTGCGCGCCTTCCCCGACATCCCCGCTCCGTCGCCGCACATGTCAGCCGCCATTTTCTGAAAAATTTCGATTCGCGCGTCCGAATTAGGCTGTTTTTCGGATTCGGCACGAATCGAAATTTTTCCGATATTCGACTCGAATTCCACTTCGGATACTTCGATTCGCTCATCTCTAGCCATAATATACACCATATTTGGAGGTCAAATGGCACTGCACAGCACCACAAAAACACCATACCAACAATTATGTTTGTAGGTGGGAACATCATGGTGTGCGGCTGTTTTTCAGCATACAGTACTGGCAAACTTCATGTCCTTGAAAGAAGAATAATTTGGAAAAATGTACCAAGACATTCTTGATAAAAATATGCTGCCATCTACCAGGATGATGAAGATGAAATGAGGGTGAACATTTCAGCAAGACAACGATCCCAAACACAAAGCCAAGAAAAATCTCAATTGGTTTCAAAGAAAGAAAAAAAATAAAGCTGCTCGAATGTCCCAGCCAATCACCTGACTTGAATCCAATAGTAGAGCTATGGAAAGAACTAAAGATCAGAGTTCATAGAAGAGGCCTACAGAACCTTCAAGATTTGAAGACTGTGTGGAAGAATGGGCCAAAATCACACCTGAGCAATGCATGCGACTAGTTTTCTCCATACAGGAGGCGTCTTGAAGCTGTCATTACCAACAAAGGATTTTGTACGAGGTATTAAATAAATTTCAGCAGCGTGCTTGATGCTTTTTCCCTGTGTCATTCCATTTTATTACATATAACTTAATTTCTGAATCTATTTATTTTAGTTTCTTTGTATGGATTGCATGGGTTGTTACCAACATATGGTGAAAATGTCATGTCAATAGCTTGAATATTTATAAAAATACTTAGCAAAATGGTGACGTGTTCAGTACTTATTTTACCTGCTGTATAATCGTGTTTTTGTTTTTTTTATTTATTAAAAAAAATATAATTTTGTATTTTGGTTTTCGGGTTGTATGTTCTGAAGTAGTGTAATTTCAAGTCCCATTTAATAATGCACAATGATAAAAATTTGTAACAGGCTTACTTTAAAATATTTATGAGCTGTCTGGTGCTGGATCTCAGTGGCATGTGAAGGACCACTTACACTTGCCACTTTTTTGCGGTATTGTTAGGCTGAAAGAATTTTATGAATATATTCAAATATACAGTGCAATACTTTTTTTTTCTATCCTACATTAAATTACTCCAGGCACATTATGGCTTATTACATTTTTTTTTGTAGTTTGACTATTTCGTATGTTCTTTATCATGAGATGAAAAGCATCTTAATTTCCATAATGCTTGTTCTGTAGCTCACAGACTTAAACTTTTGGCACGCCTGCAAAATTAAAAGCCTGGTGAGTTCTCGATGAACCAATACTGGTCATGGTGATAGAAATGGCCAGCCAGAATTTCCTCCAGCCGGTCTCATCCTGGATTTCTCGCATGTGTGAAGCTGTTCATCTTACTGGTGGCCCGGTATCCAATTCTCAAACAAATTTAAATGATTCGGAGTCAAGAGTGAATAAAAATCAAGGCTCTGAGTGTAACGATGATTATGAGCAGAACCTGGACGAATTATCGGAAGATGAAGAGTTGTCGTGTGGAAAGGCACATCTTCATACTTCGGACGCAGATTCATGGACATCTACTGATGATGAGGAGGACAACCGTAGCTTGGCCCAGAAGAGTCAAGTAAGTGTACAGCTAGCAGAATCTAGGACTGGCACACCATGCCAACCTGAAAAACGACGTTTTAGCGGACAGAGTCGAGATGATAGCAGTCTTTTCGAATCACTCTCAGTAATTCCGGAAGATAATGAAGAATATGTAAATAGAGAAATAACTGCTCTTCTAAAGGATCTTGAAACAACATCTTTTAGCTCTTTAGGAACCGTTATTGGCAAGAATTCCAGAGGTAAGATAATCATTCTTGTTCCCATTCAGTTTTGTTTTCCATGCCTAATTTGTCCATTTTCCTATTGTATAAAATTAATGTTCTGAATGATGTAGCCACATAAAACAATGTTTCCAAATAACTACCTCTAAAATGTTTGTTTGCTGCAGATTCAAAGCATGTGGTGACACTTTGCTATGCTTATTATTAAACTTGGTTTTAAAAGGGTATTTACTAACAAATGTAATATATAGCAAACGGCAACACATTTTTATTTTTATGTTTTAGTAAGCCTATTCAATGACTTGGTGGTTTCTGAGATGAGTTGTGGTATGTATTATATATTCTGTGTTAGAGTTAATCATTTTGCTTGCATTTTTGCCTATGAAAAAAGACAATTTTGAAAGTTAATGAAGCAATTATACTAGATGGCCAAAATATGTGATTCCTGGCCATCACATCTATATGAGCTTGTTGGATATCCCATTCCACGTTTTTGCAGATAAACATGGTGACATACATATATATATTCTGTTCTGTATAGTAAAGCTTTTTTGACACAAATATAGGGCTGCTATTGCTGACTTACTTTTGAAATGTTAGTTGATTGGCTGTCATAGGGACTCTGTGGTTTAAAGTGGAATTAAACCTCAACATAAAAAAAAAGTTAAAAATGGCCCCATGGGAGCTTTATGCCTTAATATACCTGATGGTGTACATCATGTTCAGTTTAATTTTTTCTATCACAAATGATTTGCTTTAAACAACTTAAGCTCCAGAAGGTTATACCCCTTTCATGACCAGGACATTTTTTTGCTATTTAGCACTGCACTACTTTGATTGGCCATTGCGCGATCATGCAACACTGTACCTAAATGAAATTGAAATAATTTTTTCACACAAATATAGCTTTCTTTTGGTGGTATTTGATCTCCACTGGGTTTTTATGTTTTATTATATAAGCAGAAAAAGACCGAACATTTTGAAAAATTATTTTAAAAATGCAGTATAAATTGGCAATGCATGCACATTTTCCCATGTCTTATTCCTTTCCTGCAAGTACAGAACTTCTGATCTGTCAGAAATGCACTTGGCTGTGAAGTCCTGTTGTGGGTTGAAAACTCAGTGTAGACTGTGGGTTGTCAGTTTCTTTTGCTAAACTACACAACAATTCCCACTCTCAGATCCTAGTGATCCTAGGTTAACAATTCTGTAGTCCAAGATGAAAACAAGGAGGGCTCCTTGAGATAACCCAACATTAACTTGAACAAAATGCTTCCAATGGTATATTTATCAGACCAAAAGGGAGTAAATAGGCCTAATTTGCACTTATGGTTGGGGGGTGACGGTAAAAACATGAGGTTGAGCCCTTACCCTTAAGCTGCAAATGCAGTGGAGGGGGGTGTACATATGCCATGGCTGTTAATGCTTTGCACAAAAATTATCTCTGCTGTTTCAATCGGCAGCCAATACCATCTACTGAATGCAACCCAATAGATTGAATGTGGGTGCCTGCAACTGCCCTGCAAGCATTGTAATCTGTTAGTATTACATTACTGTATCAAATCATTTCACCTAAATTTTGTCCCTAGTGCTTTATCTAGTGCCCTGCCTGCACTTTTACCATTTTTTCTGCCTGGAAACTAAGAAACGTCCAAAAAGGTTCCGTTTAGGTCAAAAGTGGTTTGCTAGAAAACAGCGATAGTGAATTAGAATCACTTGCATAATTGAGCGACAGTGATTCGTAGGGAAATTCATCATCAGACACTGAAAACAATTCTGCGACTGAGCTCAGTGATGTGCGAACTTGGCGCTATATTTCAAATGTCAGTGTTTTTGGTTTGATTACATTATTGAATTAAATGTATTATTATATTATTATTTTTTAACTTTTTATAATTATTATATTATAATTTATGATTTGTGTTTTAAACTTTATCATACCCGGGATGTTTACTAGACTCTTGTTTGGACAGATTTAAGTGAGTTATTCCTAAGAATTACAGGCCTACAATATAAAACATCAAAGTTCCATGCTAACAAAAATGTACTGCTTTGACACTCAAAAATATTGATTAGTTAGGTTAATATCATCTAACTTAACAAGTCCAAAAATGCAACTGCCTATGGTTATACTGTAAGAGAAACCTTGCAGATTGAAGCCATGTATGCTATTCCACTATACTCTACTATTTCTTTTTTTTTCCTCTCTATTGTTATTCTCATTTGGGACTCTCTCCCTACAATGGTACTGACTTTGATTTCATAATGTTGTTTATAACGCACAGTCTCATTAAATGACTAATATCGTATACTGATTTCAGAATCCTGTTTACTTTGTAACCTTTGCTTCCGAAATTGAAATAAAAAATTTTACTGTTTAAAAAAAAAAAAAAAACAGGTATTGGGGAGGTAATATAACACTTCTTCACTGCCGGTCCATTGCCCTCTGAAGGGGGATCCAAATTGAACCACCGATCTTCAGAGGGCTGTACAGGTGTACAGTTGTGTCCAAAATTATTCAACCCCCACTGAAATTGAGTGTTTTGGCCAGTTTGACATTGCTTTTGATCATTCAGTCATCTTGCTTACATTTACATTAAAGAGGCACTTGTAGGTCAGACAAATATAACATAACAGTTATAATGAAATAACCACAAATGTCTTTTCTGTGCTCACAGCATTATCAGTTTTATTCAACCCCCAAGTGACATTCAATCTTAGTACTTAGTACAGCATCCTTTTACAGTTATAACAGCTTTTAAACGTGAAGCATAGCTTGACACAAGTGTCTTGCAGCGATCTACGGGTATCTTCGCCCATTCTTCATGGGCAAAGGCCTCCAGTTCAGTCACATTCTTAGGCTTGCGCACTGCAACTGCTTTCTTTAAGTCCCACCAGAGGTTCTCAATCGGATTTAAGTCTGGTGACTGCGATGGCCACTCCAAAATGTTCCAGCCTTTCCTCTGCAACCATGCTCTAGTGGACTTGGAGGTATGCTTGGGATCATTGTCCTGTTGAAAGGTCCAACGTCTCCCAAGCCTCAGGTGTGTGACGGACTGCATCACGTTTCCATCCAATATCTCCTGGTACTGAAGAGAATTCATGGTACCTTGCACACGCTGAAGCTTCCCTGTACCTGCAGAAGCAAAACAGCCCCAAAGCATGATTGACCCTCCACCATGCTTCACAGTAGGCAAGGTGTTCTTTTCATCATAGGCCTTGTTCTTCCTCCTCCAAACATAGCGTTGATCCATGGGCCCAAACAGTTCTAATTTTGTTTCATCAGTCCACAGAACACTATCCCACAACTTTTGTGGTTTGTCCACATGGCTTTTGGCATACTGCAGTCGACTCTTCTTATTCTTTGGAGACAGCAAGGGGGTACGCCTGGGAGTTCTGGCACGGAGGCCTTCATTACGCAGTGTGCGTCTTATTGTCTGGGCTGAAACTTCTGTACCCACATCTGACAAATCTTTTCTCAGTTCCTCAGCAGTCACACGGGGACTTCTCTCCACTCTACGCTTCAGGTAGCGCACAGCAGTCGAAGTCAGCATCTTCTTTCTGCCACGACCAGGTAGCGTTTCAACAGTGCCCTTTGCCTTGAATTTGCGAATGATGCTTCCTAAGGTGTCTCTTGGTATGTTTAACATCTTTGCAATCTTCTTATAGCCATTGCCCTTCCTGTGAAGAGAAATCACCTCTTCTCTTGTCTTCCTGGACCATTCTCTTGCCTTCACCATGTTTGTAACCACACCAGTAAATGTCTAGAAGGAGCTGAGTATCACAGTCATTTTAAAGCTGCCTAATTGGTGCTTATTATGCTTGATTGCTGCTCGGTGACATCCACAGGTGTTTTCAATACCTGATGGAAAGCACCTGTATGAACCTCTGTTCTTCAGAGTGGTAGTCTTTAAGGGGTTGAATAATTGTGGCAATGAAGAAACCACATAAGAACCATTTACTACTGTATTACATAAACAATTGATGTCATTTTAGTTGCATTTGGGTAGTTACAACGTCCTTGTAGGATTTGATTCTGAATACAATTCCAAATGTACACTATAGTCCCTAAACCCCTTTACAGCATTGGGGGTTGAATAATTTTGGACACAACTGTACACAAGGCCATAAGAGGTTTATCGTTTTGGATGTACACACAATTAAAAATTGCTCTGCCTTAATGGATAACTCATAGCCACAGTGACCAGTGATCCCCAGCATGAAATCTATGTACCTAGGTAACTGCTGTTTCTCTTTCCCTGCTACCGACGTGCTATAAATATCAATTGTCAAACATTAGTTGCAGTTACCTAATAAAAAGGCGATATTATTCATGTATGGCTTTATTTGCTTCAGAGCATCAGTCCCCGATTTGTGTGGATTATATTTAAGTACCGCTATGTCTAAGTACCTTTTCTCATTCACCGACCTCCTTTTTTACTTACAATGTCAGCTTGTAAGACGAATCGCCTTGAAAGGAAAGTTAAGCCAATGCTTTTTGTTTCCATGGTGACAGTCCTGAATACTAACTGCTGGCAAGGTTGCCAAGGGTGATGTAACAGTAAAAATAGACTTTCCATTTAATTTTGCGCTGATTAGAGTACAACTGGAGCTTTCAAATAGCCATTTAGTGCAGCTTTTTTTTTTTTTCTCGCTAATTGATCTAAATGTTTGGACGTTGTTTTTCTTGAATCAAGACTTTTAGTCTCACTTAAGCCTAGTAAGATAAAAAGCTTTCATAGTGACGTTAAAGATAAATGACTGTTGATCCTTTTGCCAATAGTTGTAGTATGTAGCCTTGGCCATCTCTTGCTGCTCTACAAACCAGGGCTGTTCACCCTGTCAAATTTTGACATGCGGCTGTCCCTGTTCAGCCGCTGCATCTGCATACATTTCCATAGACTGTCAGCTTGGGGTGGATGCTGTCGCAAAGTTTGGGTGCCGGCCAGGGGTGTATTTACCACAAGGCAAACAAGGCACTTGCCTAGGGCAGCAGTTTTCAGGGGGCAGCACCCCCC